ACAGCGGTCGCTTCATTTAACAAACAAATTCAAACACATACACTCACGCACATATACCCTAACACTAGATACAGAAGGTAAACTTAATATTTAAACAAACTTTTCAATATCTTACAGAACTAAAAACGATTACAAAACACGGTCAACCCTTTTGGGCTACAATATACACACATACTCGCACACACACGTACACACAAACAAACAGACAGACACAACAATTTAACATTGAGTTTGAAAAACATGATAAAATATTAATTGCCAACAGCCTAATTCATTGCCTGCTCAGTCATTTGGCGGCAGAGCGTCTCCAGCTGCTCCAAGCTCTTAAAGTCGTTCAATTTGTAATCATGCGGCGGCATATTAAAGCCTTCCTTAAGCGAGGCCATGCTTAAGTTAATAAGCTGCGGCTGAGACAGGCAGTGATCTCTATTGTTGTTAATATTATTAAAATTATTATTGTTATTGTTATTATTATTGTTGTTGCATATTGCGCTACAGGCAACGACGTCATCACCACAACCATCACCGGGACACAAACAGCCGCCATTACCTACGGCAGCGGCGGCAGCAGCAGCCGCCAGCAATTGCAATTGCTGATGATTAATCGAATTGTTGTTCAATAAATTATTGTTGTTGTTATTATGGTTGTTGCTGCTGTTATTGTTATTGCTATTATTATTGTTGCTGCTGATTAATATTTGCGGTGGCTGCTGCTGCTGCTGTTGCTGGTTGGATTCAGTTTGATTCACATTACTAACCATTACCACAGCGGCCATCGTTTTCTTTGGCTGCTGCTCCACAGTTGAAATTAAATTGGGTCCAGTGGTAAGRCCATTCAAGCTGGGCTTGCGCTGCTGCTGCTGCTGCAGATTGTCATTGTTGTTGTTGCTGTTGGTAAGAATCCCCTGGCCGGGCTTAAAGATCATTTGCTGAGGCTGCTGCGGCCCGCCTGCAACGACAATTAGATTATTCAGCGAGCGTCTGTGATGAGGCGGCGGCGTCTGCTGCGGCAAGGCTGGAAAGTGCTGGGCATGCTGCTGCAACATCTGCTGCATTTGCTGTGCATGCTGTGAATGATGCTTCGGCGGTTGTTGCTGCGGCTGCTGCTGTTGCTGTTGTTGCTGGGGATTATTCATAAAGTTGGGATACGAGGAGCTCTTGTACTGCTGTGTCTGATACCCGCCGTTGTAGTCAAATTGCTGCTGTTGTTGTTGCTGCTGCTGTTGCTGTTGTTGCTGCTGCTGCTGCTGATGATGCTGAATGGGATGCTGCAAACAGTTCAGCGAAAAGTTCAGCATATCATTTGAGTTCTTGCGATGATTGATGCGATCGTTACTGCCATTTTTGGGATCACATTTGCGAGCCTTGCCGTTCCACCTAACCAAGCAAGATAATGTATATTAGATGGATATTTCAGGATAGAGTATGCGATTTACCTGGGYTTATTCATATTGCTRGTTGKGGCACTCGTTGTCTTCACATGATGAAGCTTGGGCACCATGGACATCTTGATCTTGGACAGCTTAAACTTGAGCTCCTTCAATTGATTGGCATGATTCACAAATGCCTCGTTGTGTATGGAACGGTCCAGTATCCACATGAATACACCCAATGTTTCCTCATCCGGCACGCAATAAGGATCCTGTTGCAATGCATTGCTAACCAAGTCGATCACCTTAAGGAAACGCAACCCAATGTTGTCCTCGCCTGAACTCGATTCCAGTGGCTTCATGGGCGTCAGCACAATGTTKGTGAGTTCCTCGATAGCGGTGCTTATCTTCATCTGACCCGTGTGCAGCTCCTGCTCCACCCTGCTGAGAATGTGCGAGCGCTCCTTCAGCTTCTCAATGCACAGCGCCAACTTGTGAGACGCGCCCTTTGTCACGCCCACACTCTGCAGGAACTCCTCGCTGATTTGCAGCATCTCCTCGTAGGTCATATTCTTGAACAGCTCAATGTACTTGTGCAAACGGAGCGACTTCAGCCACAGGCCGATTCCAGACATTCCCASATTGCGCGTTTGGAACTTAATGTAGCTGGGCTTGAAGTCATCGAGGCGGGTGTCCGAGGTGCTGTTCGGCAGTGTACTGTTAGCGCGATGATGCTCAATGGACAGCGAGAAGCTGCGCGGTTTGTTCGCAAATTGAGCCAAATTCTCCGTCGAGTTGGAGCAGTTGTCGTTAACCGTAATCACAGACGAGTTCGATGAGTTTGACGAGCAGCTGGAGATCGTTTGAGTGGTCAGGCTGTTGGAGCGCCGTGTCTTCAGCGCGGCAATCTTGCTGTCCAGGCTCCAGCGATTCACGTCACCAAACTGATCGCCCACATACCCCATTAGTATGGAGGAGTATGCCAGCTGGTGCGGGGGAGGCGGCGGAGGCGGCTGCAACAGCTGAGGCAGAATTGCAGCAGCTTGCGAAGGAGTCTGCAAATAAAGATGCACACACACATTCTATTAGCTTTCGACTTGATATCTTGATATCAAATGATAACAGAGCAAATGCTCTGTTAGACATATTTTACTTTTATTCTAATTATATTTTGTTAGCCATTCTTAGGAAGTGCGTTCATTATTTTCGACCTTTAAACACAGTAATTGTGAACATTGACTTTGAATTGTGACTCGTGTGATTTCTTACATTAGGTGTAAGGTGCAAACTGAAGTGGGTTCATGATTTGAGTAAATGTGTATAATACTAGTTATGAAAGTGTGCGAATTAATCTGGGAAGAAGCGTGCGAATAGGTAAGTGTATTAATTGTGCTGTTTTAAGTCTGAATTCGGGAAAGTTTGAAGTGTTAAATGGCAAGGCGTTGGGATGGTGGTGGATATGTTTCAGGTTTCCTGGCTAATTCTTATTTGTTTTAAGTATTTAAATTCTGCAATAAGCTGTTCACCTACCTGTTGTTGGCTAAGRTTAGCGCTGCATATGCCGCTTGTCTCGGCAGTTCCGTTGCCAACGCCATCACTGTGCAGTGGCTCAAAGTCAAGGATTTCGGTGCCATTCTTGCTGAAGGAGGTGTCATGATCTTCGTTGCCACCAAGGCCAATGATGGAGCCCGCCGCAGCGCCAGCAACGACGCCATTGACCAGGGACGAGTTGCTGCCCAGGGAGAGCCCTAAGCTATTCTGACTAGATGCTAATTCGTTCAGTGTAATACCATTTAAATTATCACAGAGTGGATTGATCGAGCCGCAGGAGCCGCTCACACTGCCTCGCCATTCACCAGGTTGCCTGGGCAGCTGTTTGCTGTGGTGTCTGCTGGGCGGCGCAATCGTCTGCCAGTCAACGTTGCGCGTCAAATTGCCCAGCGATGAGGATGACGACGAGGAGCTGTCCGAAATGGCGCCCGTGGCCATCTGCAGCTGCAGCTGCAGCGGATCTGGCTGCACAAAGAAACTRCTGCGCTTGTTTGCCTGTATGTAGTCCTCGAGGTGACGAAGCCACACATTCAGCGAGCGTCGATCATCGCTGCCGATGGCGGGATGTATAAGCATATAGGAGAAGATCTGCTGCACCAGCTCCGTGGGCACCAGCTGCTGRGCGGTGTCCTTCACAGCGAGCGGTATCAGCATCATGTAGGWCTGTTTGGCCTCCTCGTTGCCCGGTTTTAGCAGTGGCAGCATGTTGAGCACCTCGTTMAGGATATCTTCCTTGCGTGCGCACAATTTGCGCTCATCGCCGCTCAGCTGGGCGGCATTTGTGCTGCTGGTTATCTGAAAGTCGCTGCCATAGCAGTGCATCGAGTCCTTGTCCGACGAGGAGGACGACATGCCCTCACCCAAATCATTGGGCTGACACGCTTTGTACGCACTCAACAGATTCTGCAAGTAGGCTGGATTATTCGCATTGATGTCAATGACGACGCTGTTCAGAGTCGACTGGCAGGTGCCCAGATTCTGTGTCAGATTGTTGTCTATGGAATACTGTAGAAACTTGAGGCTGGGATAGCGCAGTCGCTTCAGCAGTGCATACATGACCACTGTGCGCTCACAATCGTTCCACTTCTCGAACAGACTCGTCACTGTCGTCACCTGCTCGCAGAATAAAGCATTGCCTGACGTTGCAGTTGGCGTTGCCGTTGTCGCTGTCGATGTTGCAGTTGCAGTTGCAGTTGCAGTTGCTGGTGTTGCATCGCTGCTGCTAGCAGCATTGGTATCAATTTGGTTGCTGTTGCTAGGATTTGGGCTTGGATTTAAATTGGAATTTGAAGCGGCGGCCGTGCTTAGGCCGCAACTTGTCGTTGCTGCGAGTTGTTGCTCCTGCAGTTGTTGTTGTGTGGCTGTGACACCTGATTGCAA